GTTGTTTCAGGGTTAAGCTGGGGAGGTTGGATTTGGGGTTAAGTTGGGGAGGTTTTGAGGGTGGCCATGGGGTTGGGTTTTGGTTTTGGGTTTGGGGGAGGGGAGTGGGAACTGGGGGAACTGGGAGGAAACAGGGAATCCCTTGGGAATGCCCCATGCTGGGCTTCACTGATGGGAGAGGGGTTGGTTGTTCCTGGTTGTTTCAGGGTTAAGTTGGGGAGGTTGGATTTGGGGTTAAGTTGGGGAGGCTTTGGGGCAGGGCATGGGGTTGGGAATAGGTTTGGGTTTGGGGGAAGGGGGTGGGGACTGGGGGGGGAAGGGTGAAATCCCTTGGGAATTCAGGGATGGGAGGGACAGGGAAAAATCTGCAGGTAGGCAGTTGTAAAGCAGCATCAGGGCCAGGTCAGAGCAGCAGCTTCTGGACTCTCCATCCTGCACATGCATCACCCACCTGAGCCTGCAGGTAAGGGCTGATGCTACTAAAAAATACTAATAAAAAATGAAAATAAAATAAAAAACCCTAAACCAATCAAATAATAGTAATAATAATATAATTCCTGGTGTTTGGGGCTTGTTTTCTTGTTAGGAGAGAACAGGGTGATGCCAACAACTCAGCCCCTCATCATGGGTGATGGAAAATGTCACCTCTCCCCTTGGGATGGGGAAACTGAGGCACCAAACCCTGCACCTGCTCAGCTCCACACCTGGGCACCCCACGAGGCTGGGGATGAGGTGGGGGAGCAACATCCCCACCTGGCTTTCAACGAGTCATCAGTCGGGGGAGAAGAAAAACAAACGACAACACGAAAAAGCCCCAAAACAAACACAAAAAGGCACCAGTTTGACCCCATTTCCCCCCAGTAACCCCAAAGAACTCAACAAAACGCCCCAGTTTGGAGGGTGGGACTGGCACTTACCCCGGTGATGACAGCACAGGGGCAGGAGGTGACAAGCAGGAGCAAGCAGAGGGTTTGCAGGAGCTGGTCCATGGTGTCCCCTGGTGCCACCAAGCTCTGTCACCCCCCCCTTTTATCCCCCCTCCCCCCTCCCCACCCTGGGCTGGGTTTGCCTGGGGGGTTGTTTTTCCCTTCCTCCCCACCTTCCTGATGATCTCAGAAGCAGATGAGACCTGCATCTCTAATGGTAGAAAAGAAAGAGCCATCAATAAGAAGAAATAAATCCCCCCCCCTCCCCCAACTCACCTCTCCCCAAAGTCCTAGGGTGATTTTTCAGCCAAGTTGGGTTTTCCAAGTGAACCTCAGGACCCATAAATATCCCTGACGGGTGAATTGAAGGGTTGAAAGAAGAACTGGTGATGATTTAGCTCCAAGAAAGCACCAGGGTGAAGTCAGCCTGGTACTCTGAGGAGCACAAGGTGTGATCATGAGGCTCAGTGATAAATACCCTGTAGGAACTGGACCTGGGCTGCATTTATTTGTGGGGATAAAAGGTGGCAAAGAGGGAATAATCTCTTCTTTTTTTGTCATTAATGAGGGTGGTGTTGTATTTGAATTGGGTGTGGGAAGATGCTGATGGATGGGTTGGATGGCTCAGATGGCATTGGGGCATCTCCTGGGAGCACCTGAAGTGGCTAAAAAGGCAGGGAAAGTGGAATTATTGGCTGGTTTCTTTTAAATGTGAAGGGTTTGGGTGGATCCCTGGAGTGCTCAAGGATTTGGGGGGGGGTTCTTCATGGAGATGTCAGGGGTGAGAGGGACAAGGAATCTCTGCAGCTCCTCCCACACCTTGTACCCATGGACCTCACCTCACCCCCTGCCTCATCCCAAGCAGCTGCTTTGGGAAGTCAGCAGTAAAAATGTAGATAATTACAAAGGTAAATACCTTTCCATGGTCAATGCAGAGTCTTGGGCTCCTCTTGTCCAGCTTGGAGCTCCCAGTGCCCCCAGTTGTGCTGGTCAGGGTTGTTCAAGCAGAGGTTGTGGCTGAGATGCTTTGCACAGAAAGGGCAGGAAATAAAACTGCCTTTTCTTTCTCAAAAATCGAGCTGCATTTGCAACAGAAGGAGATGGAGCTCCTGGAGAGAGGCCAGAGGAGCCACAGAGATGCTGGGAGGGCTGGAGCAGCTCTGGGGACAGGCTGGGAAAGTTGGGGTGTTCAGCCTGGAAAAGAGAAGGCTCCAGGGAGACCTGAGAGCAGCTTCCAGTGCCTGAAGGGGCTCCAGGAAAGCTGGGGAGGGACTTGGGACAAGGGCAGGGAGGGATGGGATGAGGGGGATGGATGAAAAGTGGGAGAGGGAGATTGAGGTTGGAGATGAGGAGGGAATTCTTTGGTGTGAGGGTGGTGAGAGCCTGGCCCAGGTTGCCCAGGGAAGCTGTGGCTGCCCCATCCCTGGCAGTGTTGAAGGGCAGGTTGGATGGGGCTTGGAGCAGCCTGGGCTGGTGGGAGGTGTCTCTGCCCGTGCAGGGGGGTGGATCTGGATGATCTTGAAGGTCCCTTCCCACCCAAACCATCCCATGATTCTATGAATTCTGACCCAGAGAGCTGGATTTTCCCAGGTACCACCCCCCTGGCATCAGGGCTCCCACCAACACAACGCATTTAGTCCCTTTTGCCTTTTTCCCACCAAGGAATAAATATTCCTGAGCTGGATCTTGGGGCAGGTCCCTGTCCAGGGGCTGCAGCCTCCTCCCCAGCCCAGCTCCCTGGGGCCAAACTGAGGGCTCAGAAGCAGCTGGAGGCAGAAACCCAGGCTGAAGTGATGGGTTGAGATGTGAAAGATGGTTTTGATCAGAGCCCTGAGGTTTCATCGGGCTTTTCTGATCCATTCCTTTCATGAAATATCAGCCCAGAACTAAATCACCTCTTGAATTAGCTCAAAACAGCCCAGGCACTTCCCCCACCAGGAGACCAGCACCTCTTGGGATGTGGCAGCTGCTCTGCTGAAGTCTCCTCCACCTGGGCTGGAATCAATCCCAACTCTCCCCCAAAATCCTCCCCTTCCAGAAATCCTGCAGCCTGGAATGGCTCAGGAGGGGATTTTTGGGGGGATATTGTTGAAGGGGGGGGGGGGGGGTGGGTGGAGTAAAGGAGGCTCAC